GGGGGGGGCGGCGGGGGAGCGGCCGGCCCGGGCCCGGCAAAGCTGCCGGCTTCACTGCGCCTACGGAAATGGGCGATTATGGTACAGTGGGTAGCAGAGCTCGGAACGCCGCTGCGTTTCCGAGAGAAAGCGAACTTAGAGCAGTACTCTACTCTTAAATCATTTCCGTAGGCATGGGAAAGATTAGCATCGGAACAGAAAGCAAAATCATGTAAAAAAAGAAGAAATTGTGTCCGCTGGGCACCCCTCTCAGAAGCTGTTTCTGCTCTTGTACTTCATTTTGCACCTACCTCGTTCAGACCTCTGTAGGACCTAAGGTGCGCCTCAAGCGCACCGAGGAACGTAACTCGCTTCTCTCACACGTGGATGCACTGTCCTCTTTCAGAAGGGTGGCAAAAAGTCTCTTCTGGGGGAATTCCTCTTGGTTTGGAATTCTTTTTATTTAATATGCACATGGTTCTGAATGCTTGTCTCGGAATTCATGGGCAGGAAAAACATCACCCTCTACTGAGAACGGAAAGTGGTGAGATTATGAGGTCTTGGATGGACTGCAGGTCCCAGGGGGTTCATTCCTCAGGTGAAGACTGGCTTTGAGAAAGTTCTGTCTTCGCAGAAGTGGGTTTTCGCCTCGTTGCAGGCTAAAGTGATTGACTGTCCGAAGCTGTAGTTAGCATATATTTGATAAATTGCCTTAGACCATCAGGTCCTAGAAAATAGGATACGGACTCAGAACTTCATGAAATATTCCTAGGAGAATGGAGTTCAGGTTTGTTGTTGTGGGTGTTGCTGAGGCAATATATTGTGTTACTCTGTAACAGCTGGGTTTCCTGACTGGCTAAATGCATTACTGCCTGGTATATTGCATGCCTAGGTGCTAAAGGTACAAACAACTAAACCAAAGGCCAGTGCTGACAAGTCCAGAGTTTCATGGATCGCAGGAGAGTGTAGGAAGCATTCCTCCCAAACCCTGTATAATTCTGTAGGTGCAAATTTCATAGTTATGGTTTTTTAGTAGTATTTAAAATGGCTATAAGTGCAGAGAGGTTATTTTGTAGTATTATGTTTAAAAACAGGGTTCAGTGTCTCGATCAATCCTGCAGTCATGTGTATTAGTGATATTGCCGTGGGCATACTGTGAAGGCATTTCTCATGTGGTTTTCTTTATGTGCGTGAAGTATGCTCAAGGTCAGGCCTTAAGGCATTTCCTGGAAGTTAATCACCAAGCTGAGGAAGGGTATAGCTCAAGGTGAGGGATGCAGTGAAATCTTCAACTCCTGATGGAGTGGCAAGGTGACTTATGCATTAAGACACTGAGCAAGTACTGTATAAAAATAAATATTTGGTCTCTGCTGAACTTGTATGCGTAGTGGTTTTTTTCCTGTTCTTACCTGACTCCTGAGATTTTATTTCTGTGTCAAAGTTTACATTTCCAG